CAGCAAAAATAGGAAATACAGATAGAGGTTTATCCTGACACATTTTGCATTGCCCATTTCTGCTTCATTGCCAGGATCTGCAAAATAGGCTTTTTAAATATTCAGAAATAATTAATCAATAAAATAAGCTGGAGAAATGTAGCAGAAAAAAAAAATCCAAATGAAAATACAAAGGGCATTTAGTTATTAATCATTAGTAATTTTATGGTATTCCTTGAAAATAAATGAAGCATACAGATACTCATATGTATTTTTGACACTCAAATATTTCTGTTTAACACTGATGGTGGCTCAGTGTCTCTGAGTACCTCTCAGTACGAAATTTATCTCAGTTCTTTTGTCTCTTGCTTGTACTTGGAGAAACCGAAGATGGAAAAGACACGGAGATATCTACAGTAAAGCAAAACTGTTCCCAGTAGTACAATATATTCTTAACTGCTCTTAACTCTCCACCCTAGTTTTAAATTATTTATACGATTACAGTTTCATAAATTCCTGGACACATAAGATGGAGGCATCAACATTTTTCAATTAATATTAAACACAACTATAAAAAATATATAAAAGTTAATTAATAAAACCTATTTACAAAGGTTTGCATTTCCAAGGAAAGAACCAGTGGTCTAATTAGCTGAAGTGGTAGAGTAAGAGTATACACTGTTCTAATGATACTCTCAACATACTTCAGGCATTTACATGATATGGTTAATAATAATTATAAAAGTAATTTTTTCCAGGCGCCTCTGTCTTAGCAATTCTGTTGCCTGTCTTCTTACATATAAAGGGAACTTTTTGTCACTCTAGATTGTATGAGTAAGGATGCAAAAAACTGTTAAGAAACTTAAAGTAACTTAAGAGAAACAGAAATTTAAACCACATTTTTAAACCTTCACTATTGCAAGGGAGGTTACCTACCATCTGCCGTGACTCTGAATATCTGCAGTGTGGAGAAAAGTAATACCCAAACCAAAAGATTCCTTTGCTCTAGCATGCATGCAGCTAAATCAAGGAACTGGAAAGACAAGATCCCAGAACTTGAAGGTTTACAGAAATATTCCTGAACAAGCCCATGTGCCTGCCTTTTTATCCTGCTGCCATTGCATGCCAAGAAGATATCCCATGCTAGTGTGGTTATGAGTTCTCCTAACCATACAGGCTGCTGTTTTAGGAAAGGACATTCGATTTCCCTGAAAGCTCAGCCAGCACTGCAGAGCAGCTCTGCGAATGCTTCCCGTCACTGCAAGGGTGCTGACCACAAAAAGGCTGGTAAGTGCGCAGAAGCCACACACTGCTGGGTAACCAAAAGCAGTACTGCCCAGCTGGCCAGGGAGAGGTCTGCCTTGCTGGAGTTGGCATGCACAGCACTCCTTTTTGGAAGCTAAGCTAGAGTGCATCACCAATACAAAGCGGGACCAGGATAGTACAACAACGAACACTGGGTGACCCTGAGAACTGGAATAATGGAAAAGGAGAAAAATTCAAAAAACAGAGTCATGAGTTTAAGAATTAAAACTAGAATAATCTACTGTAAATTGGGAGATAACAGCTTGGAAGCATCTTAAAGAAAGAATTAAGGAAGGAAGGTTCAAGTATGCTAAAAGTGACCAGCGTTAGCATTTATGAATAATAAAGAAGTATTATATAGAGGTTTTACCCAGAAGAATATTACTGCTGCCTATAAAAACATGAGGAGAATAAGCAAAGGAAGGAAGAGAACTACTTAAGCTGCAAGGCAGTAAGGCAATGCATCTTAAAAATGTTGGCATGAAACAGCCAGAAGTTAATCTAAGCCAGAAATAAGAAGATACACAAGCACTGCAATATTTTGGTCCAGGAACAGCTTTTTACACAGAGAAGCAGCGAGAACTGTCTAGAGTGTATAAAACAAGTCAAATTCTTTAGGAAAGGGACAGTATGAGTAGATGCCTATGGTAGCCACAGTCTGGACTTGATGGTCAAATTGAAGCTGTAACTTTTTCCACTGAACAGAAGCAAATGGTGAATCCCTTTCTTCTTCAGCTTAAGTAATGCAAGCATAGAAGAATTTCAAAGTGATTTCTGTCTGCAAAAGTTCATGTTTCTTTGATCTTCCCCCCCTTGCCAAGTTCTTTATTTTCTGCTGAGGCATGGGGGATATTGCAGAACATGTTCCTGGAACCCAAGAAATGAACAGGAAGAAAGGCAACAGCATGCCAAGGTTGCACCAGTCATTGCAAGCTGGTCTGGCTTAGTAAGTGCCATCTGAACAGTCGTATTTCAAAACCACACTCTCGATCAGTCCCACAGGACTCAGCAGCATTCCTAGTCTCTTTGAGGGAAGAATAAATCTGCACAGTATGCCTGGATGGCATAGTAAGGAACGTGATATTGAAAGACTGGCTCCATTTTGTTGTTAAAAAATAGTATTTACATTGCCTGCAGCATCTCTCTGTAAGAATAAGAATCAGCTTATTTCTTTATGTTTCAGAAGAACTTGTTGTACTAATGTGAACAATCTGGGTGAACCTTTTCTGTAAATAGACTGAGTTCATCTCAGCATCAAAAGCACAGGGTCCACTCAGATTCTTTCTTATTCCAAAAAAATAAAACCTGCTTGAAGACTAACAACTTGGTCAGCTATTTGTGATTTTAGAGAACTCTTTTAAATGTTTCTCAAGTGCACAGGGCTGCTAATTAGAATTTTAAAAGGTCAGAAGATCATTGTTGATTACATAAAACAAACATGGAGAGAACCTTAAACTTCCCAGGGAAGTCTACAGCAGTTAAATGTGTTTGACATTGCTGAAACTCGTCCACTGTGAAGTCCAAAACCCCAAATTGTTATAGTGACTTCTGTTCATCTACACTGCCTTGTTTTTCCCAGCTTTCAGTAAGTGTAACTACCAATGCTAAAATTAGATCAAGATGCCATGGTTTTCAAATCTACTAACTAAAGCTAAACATTGAGCTTTATATGTGACACCTTCCCCACTGACATACAACTGTGTTTCATAATGCTTTAGATAATTTTCAGTGAAGCCAGAGTGTAAGGTGTTTTATTCTCTCTGCCTCTCCCTAACCCTCTAAGAACCTGGTCTTTCAAACCTCCAAGCCCTGCTCTTCTCTTCTGCTCATGTTGCAATTTTTTTTTAAGGACTGCAGAATATGAGCCAAAGATAGTTTGAACTTTCCTCCTTACCTGTTGGGATTGGGGTGCTATCCCTAGCTGTTCCCCACCAGCTTTTCCCATTCCTGAGAGGATTTTTAGGTCTGCGCTGAAGTAATTTGAAGGCTGCTGCTGAGCCTCCTTGGCATTCATGAACACTCCCCTGTCTTTTCTCGCCTTCCTCAACAGTTTTTAGTTATTAATGACAACTAGGGAGCTTGTTGCTCTGGTTTTTGTAGTGTAACTTCTTCTGCTAACCTAGTATGGTTAGCAAGATTTATTAACATGTAAGACAACTTTATAAAACTCTTTATAGCCTTGCTTGTAGTTTTCTTGTTTTTTCTATTGTATAGGTTATGGATCAAGAACCAAATTCTATTGAAAAATCAATAGCTGGAACTTTTTCCACATTTTCAAATACAATAGTGACATTAATAACTTAATAATTAGACACGTAGGTTATGCATGGTTGCACTGAAATGTTTAAAGAAAAGAAGAGTATGAATACAGAATAGACTAAGTAACAGCTTTGACATCAGCTTGGGGAATAACAAGGTATTCACAAAGCAAGGAAGAGAAACCATATAATTTCTCTTGCCTATCCATAACTCCTTTTTCTCATAAACCCACTACTTCAATGTCAGAGACTCTGGCAAAAGCAATTAAACATGCATTCATTTTTGTACAATGGATTGATAACAGCTTAATGACCTCTAAAGGCAGGAACATCAGTTTCTTTCTTTTCATGCATGTTGTTCTGTTTCTATTTAGGTATCTTCGTATGCTCCCCCCCATCTCCCTCCCACATTTACTGTTTTCTCTTGGTGCTCTATTTGCAAGCTTCCCCACCCTCCCCCCAGGATGTATTTCTAGCAGCTGAGTTCTCTCCTACACAGGTCATCCCTCCTTATACTATGAAATAGCAAGCCAACCAAGTAAGACATAAATGAGGCCACACTGAAAGAAAAGGACATTTGCTATTAAAAAGCCCCACTTCTACCACAAACAGATTTTGATGCTTTTAAGGGTGTATACCTTCACAGATATACATAAACCAACATTAAAAGGCAGAGCTGTTAGATAAAAGTAGTTTTCATACTTAAAAGTATATTAACGCATACTTACAAGATTCTAATGTGATTAAAAACCACCGTAATAGTGCTTACACCATGATACTTAAATATTTAAGAGTATGATGCTATTCCGAAACGCTGTAGAAACAAAACATATAAATGTGCTCTTAAAATATTTTCTTCATTAAGACATTTCCACAGTCTGACCCTTTTTGAAAAGCTTGACTATTTGTTCATCTATCTACAGAAATGTACATATATATATATATATATATATATATTCTTTAGACAGTACTTAAGTATTTGAGGACAGTGTAGATAAGCACAGTTTAAAGAGTTTCCATCTGCTTCTCTCAGTGTAGATAAAGAAAATGACATCAAAGGGTATATCAGAGGTGCAAACGCTCTGAATTCTTGTAATCATTTTTGCACTGGAGAGATAATTTAGGAAATACTTTTCTAACACCAGTCACTTCATATGTGCAAAGATGTGCTTCTAACTCAGCGTCTCATTTGAGAAAGCGTGTTCACCTCTGTCGCTGCTCACAGGTGACTCAAATCTTTGGGAACACAGCCCTCCTGCCACATAACCTTGCTGTACACCTGCTGTACATATGTCCACCTAGAATATTTTCATTCTCTTTTCGTATTTTTTCTGACAACTTTACAATTCTGACCACTTTTTACACTGCAGGTTCCCCACCAAAAAATAACTACAAAGGACAAAATCAAATCTTGATTTCTCAATAGTTTCATTTCAACATCAAATTTTGAATTCTTACCATGGTCTGTGAGTTCAGACATGCAGAGTTGACTTGTCTCATCTCCACTTGGTTCATCATGTCCTTTGGACACATAGTCGCACACTGGCTGAGAATGAACTAGGGGTTTTGAAGTCTGCTCATCAGGTTCCTTAGTTGAATGAGGCAGCATGGAGAAACAGGTAGAGTTAGAGCTTTCAGCAGGATCACAATACAATGGTTGCCCTGATCTATACAACTGCCGAGACTTGCATTCGGCAAATACTAAAACACAATCCTAACTTTTTTCCTAAGTGATCAGTAGTGACTCAGCCATAAGCAGAGACAGATTTAACTTTTTTTTTTTTTTCCCCCCAGACACAATTGGAAATAGAAACTAGACTGCATGTGAAAGAAAAGGTACAAGACAAAGCACGTAACAAAACCTCATTATTCCTGTAATGCTTTCACTATTTCCAAACTGACACTGTTCTCTCTACAAGGAGATGTAGTGCTAGAATTGAACAGGACTATCTTCTGTTGCAGACAGCTTAAAAGCAAAGGACAGCTTACACTGGGCATCATTCCAAGACTTCCTTCTTACTAAAAAGCCAGTTGAAATGTTAATATTCTTAACTAATCAAATGAAAAAACCACACAGCCATGCCAAATTAGAGTGTTTAAGGGATTACAATTCTAAACTTATCTTGAAAATGAATGTATTTTGAATTCTGATGTCACATAGACTGTCAGTAAGTATATTTCAGAGAGCAGATGTAGATTTAAGGACAACTTAATAAAAGAAAATTGTGCAATGAATAGAGAGTTTGTCGAACCATATCTGAATAACTGAATGTACTTTCCCTCATCACAGATCCAGACTTCAATGCACCTTCCAAATTATTAGCCTGAGACCAGGACTGTGCCTCTAGTATTACAGAAAGCACATGGGAAAGAGAAAAGTGTTGTACACTGCATATGCATAAATGAGGCCTCCAAAACAACAGCACATACTTACACGCAGGACATTGACATTCAGCTGCTGAAAATTGCGTGACCTGAATTCTTGCATTCTTTTGATATTTTCTTGATACTTTTCTTCTGCCAGTTGTCTGTAAATACAGAATACTTGTGTTTAGGATGCATTACCAGGGAGTGCACAAAGGTATCCTCTAAAAGCAGATGTGGAAAATCAAATTCCTATATGGTGCCAAACATTTGTGGCATCTCCTCAAGGTGACGTTAGTTTTAGTGAACTCACAAAGAAATTTCAAGCCTTATTTCCAAACACTATGATATTTTTCTTTCACAACTTGCATAATATAATTGAGCAATATTAAATTATTAGTCTCAGTCTTTTGTGCTTCTTCCAGAGATATTGAATACTTTGGACTTTATTCCACCATGTAGTGCAGGTACGTTTCAGCTGAAGACAAGCATGCAACTCTCAGGTGTTATAAACACTTCACCTAGGGGAGAGTTGGTAACTCTGTTTTTCTGTGTGGGACTACTTAAGCCAAGTGCTACATTAAGCAGCTCTTCCAGTTTGCATTACTATATTCCTTCCCATCAAACTCTAGATTTGAACTCTAGATTAGATCTCCAGTCTGAGAAGGTACTGGTTTTGCACTGTTTCAAAAACTTTCAGCTAGAGTCAGATGGCAATAACCTCAAGATTAATATAGATCCATTTTAAAGATTCATGACTGAGAACAAGGTTGAAGATTAATATGTTGCCTTTATATTACGAAAAAATACATTTAATTTTGTTGCTGTGGAAAAAAAAACATGCATCTAAATAGAAAACGCTGAAATGCAAGAAAGCAAAGAAAATTAAAAGCAAACTAGAACTAGCCTGCAATTAGTATTATTTCCTAATCTCCATCCATTTTAAAAAAGCGAAGGAGACAGACTTCCTATTTATAAATTTATAAGTACAAAAATTGGCCTACCATATTATTGAAAACACCATGCAGAAGAGGTGTTAAATTTAATACCTTTTCTACAGTGGTTTCAATTCAATGAGATTTTTTTTTTTTCAAATGAAAATAAATTTACATACCATATCCAGTATCAAATGCAATGGTGTTAGACAGACATAAACGTTCTTCAGACATATTTTCCAAAAATTGAATGAAGGCTTTTATGGGGTTTTTTGTAGCTTTTGGGTATTGGAATTGCAAGTTGTCACAAGTAACCCTAGGACGTGATTTTACAGGGCATTTTCGCTCAACTGCAATTACTATTGACTTGCAAGTATATTTAACTGCAGAGTTTCAGAGGCCATATATTCAGGCTTCATGTCACCCTACAGTATTTTTCAGTACTAGGACATCATTGTCTTATTGAATTGATAACCCGCTTTGGCACAACAGTTTTAAGACTCCTCATGATCAAAAATAATTATTCCCCCTTACCTCTATAAATGAGAAAATATTTGTTAATTTACATTGCATTTTGCAAAATGTTTTTGAAGAAAACATCAAAAATTAATTAAAAATTAATACGATGCTTTTCTGATTTTTATTCATACCATATAAAACATTGAGTATTTTTAACTGCGAAAAACTCAAGCATGTCATCAAACCAGTATATTCTTCTTTTTATTTAAAGAAGGAATCCATGCATACACAATTAGCCTTCTAACTGTTTCTCATATTCCACTCAGAAATGGTACTTATTCTCCTTCAAATCCCCCCTTTTATTATGTCTCACTCAATAAAAAATCAAAATCATAAAGCGTTTATAACATGCCCATTACCCCTGTTTGATCATTGGATAAGAGCATCCTCTGAACTGCTAACTTCTATTGGCAAATCTCTTAGGCCAAAACAATGACAAAAGCTGGACTGTAACTAAACGTCCAGCTCCTCAGACTGGGCAATGACAAGTCATTAAAAAAAAAGTCTCCTATTGTAACACATCTGAAGATCTCTCATATGCTTATTTAACCGGAAACACAATGCTCAAAGCACCAGTTTTGGGCTAATGTTCTGACTTTTTTTTCCTACATAAATAATTGCTGTGATTTAACTCATCCAAAATCCCCATTCACTTTGAGTAGCTGAAGACCCTTTCTAGTTTTATGTTTACCTTGACAGTTCTATCTTGTTAGACTGCTGGATGGGGAAAACTGCACGGTTAGAGCACAATGCAAATGTTATGCTCAACTTACTTCAACTTCTTTGCTTTTTCATCTGCAGCATTTAACTTCCTCAGCCTCATTCGTTCCCGCGGTGTCATTTTCTGTACTTCAGACAGTTCCTGCAGAGTTTGCAAATGAACTTTCCTCTGCCTGGAATTGAATGCATGCAAACCCACCTTCATATAAAAATGTAAATATCAATATTTTGGTTTGATATTGAAACATAGTGACATTTCAAATGGAATTATTAGAAAGTCGCAGGTACTGTAACAGACTAAACAGACTTTAGTTTGGAAAGCAAATGCCTCTTTTAAAGTGAAATATTTAAATTTAGACTTAGATTCATGAAGAATGTGAATAATTTCAGGCATTTCAGGTGAGAATGGAAAAAGATAAACTCAGCTCCTTAAAAGGATAAATGTTGAAGCACAGTGAAATATTTACCTTGTCAGGCTTCATTACTGAGCATATTCCAAGTACAATGCAAGCCTTTAAATGAGAACCACAGAAAAAAGCAATATCACCTATATATTTTATGTCAATTGTTACAGGAAGTCCAGAATAAAAGAATATTAATGTCTTTAATGACAGACATAATTACAATGTTATCCTGTTGAATTTCTGGTCCTAATTAATAATAACAATTCACTGGTAAAATGGTCTCCATAGACCATCTCTGAAAGCTGAGCATGAATTATTGACATACGGATCTCAGTTTGTATTTATCAACACAAGAAAACAATATTAGACTTGTATCAGAAAACGGATATTAATCTCAGATTTTTATTTTATATTCTACAGTAATTTCTTATAAGATAAATTCAGTTCTGATCATTTAAGAGCCCAGTTTTGTAACCATACAAATTGTAACACTCCTTCTGGACTATCATTCTGAAATCAGAATTTTAATAAATGAGAAGTTTTCATTATGCTCTTCAAATTTTGACTACAGAGGGAAATAGCGTAAAGATATGAATATTAGTGTGAAATATGAAAGACTAAGGACAAAGACAAGAAGAGTTCAATTATTCATAAGAATGGAACTAACTCTTCAAGTATGAATAATGTAGACATATTTCTTGTCCTCTGTAAAAAACTAATTTAAATTATAAGAATCTCTTAGGAAAAAAAGCCATTTTTCATCCAAGTCAAAACTGAACATACAGCTTTATTTGTAGTTAAATATTTAAAACGTATGACTTGCATGGGACTGGAATAAAGTAAGCCATTAGAGGCCTTTACTAGAAGAAACTAGACTCAACTATACATGGCAAAAATAATTCCTGGTGAGAAAAAAAAATGATAAAGTAGCAATGATTGAGGAGGACACCATAATAAGCAACTCCTTGTACACTCACTCAGACTAGAGTATGCCTTCATTACAGCGGATGTGGGAAATTCACTATGTTTAAATTATTTCTCCTCCACTTTTCCGCTCTACCATTTTTTGTGTATTTTTATTTCATTTTACCTACCTCTTTAGAACTCAGACTGCAGAAATTATTTGGCATTTTGTTTATGAGTAGCAATACAGATGGCTAATGTTCTCATAAATAGAAAGAAATTCATAATAACGGTATGACTTTATGTATATTCCAAACATTTAGCCAAAAATAATCAGAATTCAGCACATTTGAAGAAAATTTATAGTGGAGCTTCTCCTAGGATTTTTTTCCTCAAAGTGATGCCCTTAATTTGAAAACCTCAAGGTAAATTTCCATGCTCAAACAAAATCATATTTTTTAGGACCCCTGGGCCTCTAAATGGAAGCAGCTTTCAGACTTTCTATTTCCTTTTAACAAAAGTATAGAACATGATGTTTGAAGTTGTAGTTAGAACTCGCTCTTCATCTTGAGAGTACAGACTTGCTTTTGAACAAAAATAGTTACAGATTCTGGGATATACATGAATGTCCTCCCCATATGCTAGCTCTGTCAATATATGATGTCCATTTGGAAGGTGATGAGACTCAATATATTCAAATTAATGACAATAGATCATAGTATGTGTTACAAATAAAAGAAAGTTGTTTTCAGTCTGTCCTAGAAGCAGGGAGATATTTGAAGTCTAGGTATATAATTTGCAGGTAAAAATACTGCTTCCTCAAAACATCTACAGCTTTTGGATGCATATAGATAAGTTTAAATCTTGTACCCACAAAATAAAGGCATGGATTAAGTTTCTTTAAGTTTCCCATATGTTATGTAATAAGCATTAAATACTCAATATAATTCAGATAGAGTTGGCATAATATTTGGGCAAGATTTCAGTGCCCCTAAACTATTTATGGTATATCTAAAAGGATCATCTCTGCACTTGAATATAATTAAATATAACTTGACAGTTATTTAGAGGAAACAAGAAACAGGGTGTCCACTGAGTCCACACAGGATCACAAACTCCTGATTTTGACCATGCTAGCTCTTAACAGAGCAAAACCAGGTACAGAAAACTCAGGGACAGGGAGCAAAGGGGAAGGCCAGATGCCATCTAAATTGCAGAGTTAATTTACAAAGGTAAAATGAAATCGCCCATGCTGACATTAAATTAATTGATTGTATGAAATGGCAACATTGCGATTTCATACAATCAATTAATTTAATATATATTCAGTGCCTAAAAGAGAGATCATATGCAAAAGCACTACTGATGTAAGAGCCAAGAAACATCACTAGCCTTAATTTCTCACTATAGTTACAAGACAAATATAATAGTATCCTATGGATGTATTAGCTGAATATTAGTTTAAGTGTATATACTTTTATCTTGGTGTCAATCAGGAAACACAGCTTACACATTCAATAATTAGTAGGCACACAAAGAGCAGCACTATAAATGATCATGACATAACTAACATGATGTTCTAAACCTTCAAAATGTAAAGACAAAGGTCATAAATTACATATCAATCGGTAATAAGTTAACATATGCATATACTACACATGCATACGCAATTGACACAGTTATATGATTAAATACTTGATCTGCAAATCCTTTTTTTCCCCTGAATGTCTTTAATTGTGCATCTCACTAACGTGGTTGCTCTTCTGTATTTCTGCAGAATGGGTCCCTCTAAATATAAAGCACAATAAGATTAACACAAGTGTTTACAACATGATATTATTTGGCAACACTGTAATTTCACTTACTGCTGCCCATAAAACACTTTAAAGTACTTACACGGCATCAAAAATGGGAGCAGCTTCTTTCTGCCAGTTAAGTGCCTTGTCTTTCACAGTCATGTTTGTGAAATTGTACTGTATATTCTGCAAGGCAATAAAATAGAAGTGATAACAACACTTGAGGCTGAAGTGATCCAGGCTCTTCAGCTATAACACAATACAGTCCTCATGTAAAAACTGACTGAGTGGTTTCCTTCCCCACCTTCTTAGAAAATCAAATAATATACACACTGAAGCAGGGACCAAAAGAGCAAGATGTGTTGTTTTTTCATTAAAACTATAACTAACTAGAACATTTTAGAGATCATATGTACCCAGGCCCAAACGATCTGCACTTGTTACACATAAATGCCTGTTCTCCTTGTTGCACATAACATTTAAAAGGGGACACATTAAGCATGTAAAGTGACAAGAGCTTCATTTCTCACTGCTTCACTACCTCAGTCATATTTGTAATTTAGCTCTGAAAGTCCCCTGAATTAATGTTCCCATGAAATGCTAGCTAATTATTTTTCTTAACACATTTTCTCTACTCCATTCTGCTTTTGCAAAATATACATACTCCAATGGTAAGTGTACAGCTATTGCTTTTTCTTATATACCTTTAGTTGTTCATCAATATAAGGGAATTTTAGGATCTCTGCTGCTGCTGGTCTTAATGAAGGATTCTTATTTAACATGCTGAAACATTAAAAAACGAAAGTCATAAGTAAGCAATTCCCAAATTAACTTAAAAAATCTGCTAAACAAGAAAGTAACATACCTACACAGCACAGCATTCAGTTTGCTTGGATAACTGTCAGGAAGAGAAGGTGTATCCCCTTCTACAATTTTTAACACAACAGACAAAAAATTGTGTCCAGTAAATGCATGGTTCATACAGCACATCTCATATAAAATGCATCCCAGAGACCTTGAAGAATAAAATAATAGGAATAGTATAAAAAATATTTTTGAAAGTAACACGCATAGTGACATTACAGTAAGTAAAAATCACAATTGTATACTCTTTTCTTCTGGGAAAAAGATATTTCATTATCATACTATCCTTTTCATCCAAAACTTTTTTATTCAGATCACAAATTAGTAAAACTTTATAAACAGGAGAAATCACCGTTCTGTTTCCACAAGTGCAGGCAGAAACTTAAATTCCATAAATAAACACACATATTCATATATATATATATATATATATATATATATATATGAAAAAAATAAAGTCAAACTACCTTAAGTGGTTACTCACTAAACCGAGAATGAAGTTTTTTAATTAGTGACTGACTTGAGAAAATAGTTTAGGAGTGTTTGGACACAGGTTTGTTTAAATTGGTTTTGCAAATTAATTTCTGGCAACAGGCTGAGGCTGAAATTCAAGTTCAAATAACAGAAATGTCTTCTGACTGATTTGCTTACATACTCAACACAGAATATTAAATCAGTTTTTACTCAAAAAAATATCAAATGTTAGATGAGAGCACCATATTGCAACATCTAAAACTAAATTTCCTCAAAATTTTATTTGTAGAAGAAAAGAAGAAATCTGACCATGTAGGTCTGGACACCTAGCTAAGAACCAGTGTTAGTTTTAAGTCATTAAAAACAAGGAGGAATTATTATAATTTTAAATGGGCCTCTGATTTCCCATCACCTTATTTACCAGGCTCTTTTTCACCAGTCTTAATGGAGATCATAAAAGATCACCAAGTTGAACATTGTAACATAAACTCTCTCATAATTATCTATATAAAGACTATTCATAACAATTTGCTCTTCAATGGGGTTCTGTCCGACAAATGGTTTTTTTAAAAACAGGGGAGTTGAGCTTCCCAGGCTTTGAAGGATGCTCAGCATTACCTCCAGTTTGCAATCAGGAGAACTGAGGCACTGATGAGTGACTTGATCAAGGTCTAGAAAATGTTGGTAAGAACCAGACACAGAACCAGACTCATCTAAGTAATCAACTTAAATATCAGAGCAACTTTACTCTTAATTTAGTATTTGACTGTGGTATTTATAATTTACAGAAGCAGTATGAAAATAAAGCATAGTGATAACAAGTAGAAGCACATATAGGTGAACAGCTTTGATGAAAAGGGTATAAACGTTATCTTTGAAAGCAAATAATGAATAAAGTTTCATTTTGGTAAAGAAGAGGAATTGATTCCGTCTGTGTGGCAATAAAAGAACAAAAGCAAATAATTTTAAAACTGAAACCTAGGCTCTACATACAATGCAAATAAGGAAGAGGAGAGAGAATACAGGGGCTTGCTCACTGGAACTTTTCAAGCAGTATGTGAAAACAATCAGCAGAACATTTTTGCTAACAACTGCATGAAGACCAACTACTGAGGTACATAAATAATTGCCTAGTTTTTGTAAAGATTTAACTGTCAACCTGCTTTCAAACTTCCAAAATCAGTAAACAGTAACACACAGATAAAGACCTATATTTATGATGTATGTTCAAACTCTGAAGCAAGATAATTACTACAAGAGAAAATACTTAAAGTCAAAAAGAACAACAAAAAAAACCCTGTATGCATGGCATCTGAAAGCATCAAACAAAAATAGAAACCAGCCAGAGGGAAGAAAAAAGGAAGGAAACTCCCAACACAACAGACTGTACTATAACTGCTTTTTGCAGAATAAATCTGTTTTTTTGGAGACTGCTTGATTCTGGCAGCTAGAAATTGCTTAATGAGCCATTAGGAGCACAGGATTTGCCACATCAGGGAAGCCCATTTATTCATCTAGTTTAGTACTCTGACTACACCTGAGGCTTTGGAGAAAGATGAAAAGAACACCCAGGGCATTCTGCTGCAGCCCAAGCCATGAACAGGCTACCCAGGGAAAACCCCATCTGTCCCATGAAAGAAAAATAAAAGGAAAAAAAAATGAAAGAAAAATGAGGGAAAAAGAATAAAGTTTTTACTGCAGGATACAGTTCTTTGAAATGAAATAAATACCTCCCTAAGCTGAGAAGTGCTGCCCTGGGTCCCAGAGCAAGACTATTTCTTCCCAGGACAGCTGCTGAGCTGCAATTTCCCAAAGGAGTTACTGGCAAGCAGCTTTGCCTCAAGACTGCATTTTTCAGTTGTGTTTCTACAGTTCTGGTCTAAGCATGACATAAGGAGCATATTCAGCAAGAGAAAATTGCTTCCTGATTCCCATCAGCAATCTGCACTTGACCCAAACATATAATTTAATTACTTTTATAATCTTAGTGTGTATAACCGCCAGTGTTATAAAATTCTAAAATGGTCATTAAACGATCCAGCCTGCACATTTGGTTTGATGGCTCTCTATATTCATGAATAGGTTTGACAAAGGTCCGAAACAGCACTTCATTTCAGCAAACTTGATGCATTACTGTTTCATGTTGAAGCTACCGATGCTCAATTACATCATAAAATGGAGCGTCTGGACAGGCTTCAGTGTGTTCTCTACAATATCAGCCAACAGACCTCTAACTTCTGCTCAGGAGAAACCACCCTGAGGTTTGTGGTGCTAATTGTTTACATAAACATCGCTGTCCTTTTAACATCTGATCTTTTGCTGTCCTTTTAACATCTGATCTTTTGTAGATCTTTCCAAACTATGTTACAGTTCTTCAAAGGCTATAAGATCCAAGTTAGCTTTTAAATTAAACTCCAAAAGCCAGATAATGTAAACACATATACCTTTGTGGCTTATATGTCTCAGTCTGATCATACCAAAAGGTCTTAAGACTCCAGAGTCTATGAGCACAGACAAGCAAGCACAATTAAAATGCAAGTCCCAAGAGCTGTGATGTAGGGAAACCCAACCCTACAGACAAACCAGTCTGACAGTACTTGATGGAAGACAGAGTACACTGGATTTACATGTGACTGTGACATTGCTTTTTCTCTGGAAGACAAAAAGCAAGTTATTTATACTGTTCTTAAAAAGAATTTGCTAAGTTTCTAAGTGAAAAAAACATTTATTTTTCAACTAAATTATTTTTTAATATTTCTGCATCTGAGATAATTTATAACATTTACTATACACAAATACTTTGAAAAGTTCCTGGATGGAGTTTACTTTATATGATCATAGCTTTGAAAAGAAGAGAGAAATGCTATTGCTGATAACTGTTTCCACACACCTTATCTCATGCACTCAGAAACAAAATATGATACAGTTAGAATAGCCGCTGCACAGATAGACAGTCAATGTTTGCACTCAAGGACCTATAACTGATCCTTGGCAGACTCCCAGCCAGCACAGATTTCAGTCTCATCTGAGAAACCCCAAACTTTCATAGTTAAAAAACCTGCAAAACTTGCGGGTGCAATACAGGCTACCTAATAGTGGCAGGCAAATCATGGTAACATTATTCAGGATCTGAACAGGGAATTAGTTTCTGCTGGGATGAGCAAGAGTGATGCTCAGTCCCCAGTATGCAAAAAGCAGGACCTAAACTGTTTGGGATGCCTTGTGCCAAGGGAATCCCAGTTTTCTGGAACAATAGACATCTCTGGGGAAGATTCAACAGCACCCTTTAGCTTTAGGACCATTTGCAGGAGTTATCATTAACCTATTAAGGTAAGTCTGGAATTTCTACATTGCATGAAGATAATGGGAAGTACAAAGGTATCCTTGTTGTTCAGAAAACCTCAGATAAAAGGTTAGCGCTAATGTAATGCATTAGCGAGTAGTCACAACTGCCCTGAATGCACTAAGTATCTTCTTTTAGTTTACTTTTTGCTGGAAAGAAATGTTTTCATTTTGTTTGAATAGTTCTGGGAGTTAGAGGATGCAGATTCTTCCCAGACTAATGTCACAAAGCCCAAGTCTGTTTGGTCTGAAGTGATGATTTTTAGTCACAGCATGGACTGCAATGAAAGCTGATTAAAGTTGTTATGTTGTTACTTTGTTGGTAGACTTCCATGTAATCTCCTTGAATATATGATTGCTTTCTTAATGCAATGGCTCTCCATCTGCATTTCTTGGTGTTGGGAGACCTGTTCTGCCATGATTCTTCAACAGTCTTAATTGGATTACACTGATGTAATCTAGGTAGATTCTGACCCACTATTTCCTGCTACCAGTATTTTAAAAAATCCCTCCCAAAGAACAAGATAAAAACCACACATGCCTTGTAAAAAGAAACAAACAAACAAAAAGTGCTAATAAGCTAAATCGGCCTAAGGCCAAAGGATCTAATACATACACCTAGCACATGTGCCTTAACACAGGGGGTGAGTCATAACCGCTATGTCCCTGCAAGTACAGATATGGTCAGACATTTTCCAGGGAAAGAGTGTGTCACTGGAACACAAACTTAGGTTAAACAAGAAGTCTGTTGTCCCTGTTACCAACAGAGGTTTGATGAAACTTTTGCCTGGAAGGGTTTGAAAATAACCCAGTTGCTCCTCCTGCACATCAGAGGTTCAGACCAAGGTCTCTGCTCTGATTCAGACCAGAAACACCAACTTCAGTCCCTCACACCACCAGGGACTACTGGCTATTTCACACAGGGCTACTGGCTATTTCACACAGCTACCTCTGCATTCTGCTTTCTATAAATTTTAAAATGCTCACTGTCCCAGAGAAGCAGATTGCAATGTCCCACCGCATTACTTCACCTTTCTTGACCCTAAGAAATGCCTTAAAATGACACATAGTCTTCAGTGTGCTTGACACATTTATGCAGTGCCATAGCGTCAGTGGAGGGGGGACACCAGCCAATGCCCAGCGTCAGCGTTGGTCCCACCATGTGGCACGTAAGGCCTGGAAAGGTCCCCAAGACCCTGGCACGTCAGTGCCCCTGGGTCACACTGTGCTTCTGTAAAAGTGAGCCCCAACTGCCAAACGTATGCACACACGACACTGGCGAACCCCCCACCCGTCCTAGTGTCTTGAATGAATCACTGTCTCAGCTTGGCTGCCGGCGCTGCACTGACTCTTCTGTCTGCCGACTGGTTAAGGGGAAGCACCGATGGGCAGCGGGGTTGGTGAACTGCTGAACTGAGACCAGCTCCCTGAGCAAGCTCCTCGCTTGGAAAGGAGGAAACCCCAGACTGTCCATCTGCAAAGGCTTTTGCTTACTGCCTGGCCAGTCCAGGCCCAGGGACGATAAGGAAAACACGTGTGCCAATTTTAATTTGCCTCCTGTGAATTAAGATTGGGCGTAAAGCATGGAATAGCAAAGAATTCCAGCCCTGAAATTTTAACTGAGAACAAACATAAACCCTGCAGCTTCTCTAGGCTAATTGCAGAACTTCCGGGTATAAAAAAACGTAAAACATGAAGCTCATTACATCTATTGACCTTGGACTATAAAGGACGATACTTCTTGCACCAGCCACTGTACTGTGAATACTCAAGCCAGTTTTGAAGAGCCAGTTGCATGAGATTTCAGTGAACTTGAAAAGCACAATGTCTCTTTAGAGCACATCATCAATGCAGCTTAAATTAAGGTCTTTCTAATGAACAATGATTAACTGGACTGAACAGCGAGATGACCACGATAGCGTAGTGAGACAGCAATAACTGCCTTTTGTAGAAGATATTTTATATTTTCTTACACTTAACATGGGAACACCTGTAATTCTCAATTTTTGTGTGTAACAGTTTGATTCCTGCTAGAGATCAGAAGGACAAGTCTCAAGAGAGAACGTCACTTCAGGTATGCTTAAAAAACGTGGGCAACTTCTTGATGAGCAACTGAACTTCCTGCAAAGTGGCACAAGGATTTCATCTCACCTGGAGCCTCCAGGGGGGCTCCCCTGAGTGATCAGGAACCTCTCATCTTTGGGCCCCCGTTAAATGGGGAAAAAAAAAAAAAAAAAATCAAACAGAATCATCACTAAAAGATTAAATTAAAAGATGAAATTATGAAAGTACTAATCAAACATAAGAGTCATGGTAGTTGACAAATCCTGATCAAAAGAATGCTTCTTGGCTCAGAAAGAGAAGGGGTTTGTGGGCTGGGGGTCTAGTGAGCAGGGCACACCTCCTCCTTAGTGCCCCTATAGTGAGGGCCAAAAAACTCCTTCTGAAGGCAGTTCCACCCTCATCTGACTGCTCTTGATACTGCCTTGGAAAGATGACAAAATGCATAAGATATAGCAGAAAGAGGGACGGGGGAGGAGTGGGGGGAGTACTTTCTTCTGCTACTTTGTAAACTTTAAAAGGGTGATCAACACATCACGTATATATTGGACCAAACTCTGCTTTCAGTTACTCTGTACAACTTCAATGACTTATATGATTGACACTTGTAACCACAAATAGAACTTAAACATCTATTTTACATTCCATTTCAACTGCAATAAATTATTCTTTATAGTAAGAGAGCACAAAAGGTAGGTTTCCCTGTCTATTCACTTGTTTTGACATCTTTTGAAATCTTCTCTCAATATATTTTTATTGACTACATGTACGAACTGATATTCATTTTGATACAGATGAATGAGACAGAATCTGACATCAAATTCATCTCAGTTCAGCTACACAGACCAAGAGATGAGATTCGTGACATATCCACTGACGGGACTGAACATGTTAATTGTGAAAAATGATTGCTACCAGTTGAAAGTACCGATAACTGTTCTCAACTTTCAGAATTATATCCTGCACTCACAAGTATATTTTGAAAAGGCAGAACTGAGCAGAAGCTAAATTATCAAGTACACAAATCGTATTCCAGTGGCCAAATGTTTTACTAAAAAAATTTCCTTATTTGAAATATTCTTTAAAAAGGAGACTTAAGATATGTATACCTACAGGGGAAAAAAAAAAAACAACCACAACAAACACAAACCAAAAAAAAACCAAAACCCCAACCTCTTAAGAGAAGAAACAAAGCCCATTTTATATAAAAATGCTATGACAGAATTAAAAAACACAATAATTTTAACTATCATCTTAGACACAAGATGTTTTAGGACACACATACAAACAAGACAGATATTTTCCCCATTCTGAAAAATCATTCTTCATCCTACCTTGTAAGAATACCTGCACACCTAAAGGTTTCCTAAGGTCTTTCAACAGATCTCAGCTTCTCTCTAATCATCACCTTAAAAGTCCTGATCTCAAGAATTTGTGCCATCTAAGTACAAAATTGACACTTTTCTTTCTACCTTTAAGCCTTTTCTAAAACAGAGTGCCTTTTTGCTTCTGTCTTAACACTCCAGTTATTCTCATTTTCACCTCCCCTTCCAAGTACCTTCGTCCTTTTCACATTTGCCAATGTTTTCCAATTCAGTTCCTAAGAAGGTCCTTCTGCTTCCCTCTCAGCCATGAATCAGTCTTCCCTCATCTGTTTGGAAGTTTCACAGGAACTGTTTCATCTATTGCAATATCAGAAGGAAAAGGACTTCCCCACTTCCTAGCAAATCCTGAACTCTGTCTACTGTCTACAGTCATCCTGTGTCATGGCAGAGACTAGACCTAAATCTTACTCTCCTTTGAAGTCCCAGATAACCCAAAATAATAGCAAACTACATCCTTTGTAACACAAAGAGTAAACCTGAAAATTGTAATGTATGATACAAAGAGCCTGGTATAGTTTGAGTGGAGTAGTGTGAGCACCCTACTGAGAGAGTCATTAAAAAAAAAAAAAAAAAGTTCTAAATACTGTCAAATACTGACCTAGAAAATAAATGCTTAAACCAATTGAACTAGCATGCTGACTACTCACCAAATGTCAGATTTTGTGTTATATCCCTGGTGCTTCAGTGCTTCTGGACTCATGTAGTATGGTGTCCCAGTAAATGTAGTTGCCAGATCACATGAACCCATCAAAAGACGGGAAACTCCAAAGTCCCCTAAAAGCAACAACAGAAACAATAATCTATTCATATAAATATGTATTTGTTCATGTAAACTCTTTGTGTTTATTATTAGACATGAAACAATGACTGTATGTAAAAAAAAAAAAAAAAAGCGCGCCAGTATTTTAAAATATGGAAAAAACAATTTTCTGCAATTCTTCAAAATAAAGACACCACAAGATCATAGAACTATTGAACCATGTAGGTTTGATGATGCCTCACGAGGTCACCTGATTCAAACCCCCGGCTCAAAGCAAGGCCAACTTCAAAGTTACATGAAGCTGCACAGGTCCAGTTCCAGCTTGAGCACCCCCAAGGCTGGAGATTCCACTGACTCTCTGGGCCCCCGTTCCTGTGTCTGACTGTCAAATAAATGTTTGACCACAAATCAAAATGCTATAACAGACATGAATCTATTTGAATTTCCTTATTGACAAGATGTCTGTTGCACTGTTCTATCATACTAAAACATATCTTTTAAAAGTATGGAAATCTCACCAATTTTAAGAAGATTATTTTTCAAAAATATATTCTTGGCTTTCAAATCTCTGTGAAGTATCCGCCTGGAATATAATAGGAAATTCATCGTCATTCGACTGGAAGCATTCACAGTCACGTATCAAGTATCTCAAGTGTTTAACTTCATTCCGCGTTAGGAAGGCCAGCCCACCACTGCTACAGTCTAACCCTGACAACGCACAGATATCGATAACATTAAGCAGTTTCATATAAACACAGAGGTACACTCACACATATCCCCATGGTGGGATGAGAGCCTAAGCAGCCAGGATAATAAAAATGCACCCGGAGATGCCAGCTTGAGAACACAGATACAGGCTTAACATGAGCTGCAGAGGAAGGGAGAAAGGCAAGTCTTCCTATCTGACTCTTCTTAAAAGCATTACATCTTATTTTCTGCCAGGAAAATGAGATGTCTCACAATAGAATGAGGGATGAGAAAAACAGCAGTAAGAGATTCTCAAAGCTCAGGGAACTCTCCTTCATAGAAAATGTATTGCTTGAAAGACAAATATGTATATAAATCAGGCTAGTAGTTCAAATTTTTACAGCAATGATGTAGAAGATAAAATAATTTTACAAAGAAAGAAATCAAAAGGAAAAGAAAAAAAACAGCTTTAACAAACTTAGTTTTTCATCACAGACTGAAACAACATCATGCGCTACACACAAACAGCATCTTCTCAAAATATTAATCTGTGACAGTAATTCTCCAGCCCCTTAGGAAAATAAAATATCTCTACAGTATACAAAACATGTTCTTAATTATTTTTTCTTAAGAACACTTTCAGGAGTGTTCCCTACAACCTCATCTAAACTAGAACTCATCCACTTTTAGAAAGTTTGATAATACACAGTATTAGTTGTCAGGTCTGCGCAGGAGGAAGTTAGAATAGCATTTGGCACCTACCGGCTACAGAAGCTCTATCTGCTAATACAAATACTGTAGTCATTCAGCCATTTAGAACAAGTAATGAAAGCCACTGATGCTCTAAGATTCTTGAGATGTAGGCAGGAAAAACCAATATATTAATAGATTTTAATTGTTCTTGAGCAATCCTCAAGATTCATTGAATTATTAAAGTCATATGCATTGAGATACTGAAATTATTTTCAAAATAGTTTTCATATTAAGTCTATAAAATACATATTCTTCAGCACAATTTAAATAAGCAATTTAGTCCACAACTCATTTGTAAATAATTTTTGCAAGAAGGAAAAAAATTATTGAATTCAATATACTCAGTTCACAAACGGGAAAAAAATGTGAAAAATAACTACTAGAAGACATTGTAGTATGTACATAAACTGAGCATGAAAAAGAAACAGTTCCAGTTTTATAGGACGTAAAGAAAAGAGTTCTTTATGTTTCTTAAGGCAATTTTTCCATTTTTTGTCCTAAAAGTAATCCTTCCAGAGAATGGTTTGCACAGTGGGAAAAATTAAAGTTTTATTCAGCTGCCTCTACTGATGTTTATAAATAATTTGTTCTCTATTTGGCAGCTTTCTTGAGCAATACATGTACACTCATTATACATTACATCAGTAAGGAAAATAAGCTAAGGTGATACTCATTATTATTTCATAAGCCTACATATATATATATACATAGTTTTATATAAATCTTATGCTGTTAATTTAGATTCATAAAGCCTTTCCTTACTATTCATCACACAGAGCCTTTGAAAGAATTTGACTTCACTGAGATTTTTCTTGCATATTGTTGTTGAGCATGGGTGGGTTTTAACCTTTTTTTTTATATTATTATTAATTTGTAGAAATATAACCATGGATTCTTTGAACCTAAAAGTTTCCCGGATAACTGTGATTTGAATAACAGGTATCTTGAAGTATAAAAACTATCCAGAAAGCTTTCAGGAATGTATTATTTGAAAAGAAGATGAAGATAAGGTGTTTGGGTCACATTAGTTCAAATTGGAACGTAAAGCTAATATAAGCTTGCAACTTACTGATTAAAATGTTATGCACATTATTTGCATTATGAATATTTATAAGATGTTTTATATATTAATATGACTAAGAAATACGTGGAACTTCCTATGATGATGTATCTCGATGCAAGCCACATTATTTTGCCAGGATATGTAAGGAGATGAAGTTAGAAGCTGAAACCCTAACTAAAAGAACTACTTTAATTCTAATAAGAAATAAATATTGACCCTACACTGTAAATGCAGTTTAAGAGAGAGAATGACTTTTTGTTATAGCAAGAGACAGACCTATAGAGGTAACATGAACTAACTGGGCTCCAGCAAAACTTAATCTAACTTGACAGTGAAGTGTTTTTTGATATTTTGGGTAGAAATTAACACTTAGGGGTAGTTTCAGGATTTGGGCTATAAATATATCCATACCTATGTTCTATAGAGTACGTGTTTGCTGTCTCAAAGTCATAAAAAAGCAGCATGAAGCACTGAGCAGTGGGCAGCCAGCCTCCTTGAATAAAGCTTCCTCTGCAACACACCTGCAAGTGAAGCTGATTGAAGCTGAAGTAGTTTACTGCTGTGAAATATTCAACAACTAATTTCTCTTTTCTCTATCTGAAGAACTATTTAGAGAAGAGGTTCTGGGTAAGTCTGAATCCTGTCCTAGATAAAGTACTTGGGCAAAGCCTGCTATCCTGTAGATTCAAACCACAGATTTGTTTGCATAAACAGTATAAAAATCTCTGTGTTGGCACATTGTTCATAAAGTGATGGAGAACGTAATGGTCAGCCTTATACAAATAGCGGTGAAATGAATCAATGCCCTCACGGCCTGATTGCTGCGGTACCCCTTTTGTGCACTGATTGTGTGATGGGCTACAAGTGTGACAGAGAGTCAAGATGGTGGTTTCATGCTTAATGTCTCTAGATAGATAATGCCACTGAACTATGTTGCCTCTCCTTTATTTCTCTCTCTGGTTATATCAATGACAGATGAGGACTGACTCTATTTAATTCCAGATAATTTAGCTTTCAAGTTTAAAATTTAAAAATCCTTCCAATTATGCAAAATAGCCAGTAGATAGCCTAATGACCACAAGATATTCATGCCTCCTTTGGGATTTAAAAAGCATAAGTAAAAGACAAGAATGTCTAATCTGTATAATTTTTATTATCACATGAAATAACCCCAGCAACTGGAGGCAGCCAAAAAGTCCTATTTTAAAATACGTTTCCATCATAAGAGTTTTCAGAAAGTGCAGAAGTTCAACTAAAGCGGTGCACCAAGTGAATAGTCTGTGCCTAAAACCAGAAATAGTAATTTCTGATTCTCTGGAATAAACACTCCCATCCACAGCAGCTGGATTTTCTAAGGAATGGCATGAGGAAGTCCAACCCACAAGTAATGAACACTTCAAGCTTCTAATTCTAAGGAAAAGTTTTCTTTGCATTTTCTTTGCATTCTATGTTTCTAGAACATAGTTCAAACATATATTACAGCTTTTTTTCATATCAGTAGAAAGGAAATTATGTATGACTCCTCTATACATAAACAGAAGGCTGTTATTATGTTTCAGTAATTCAAATTAATTTCCACAAGTAGTTTTAAATTGTTTTAAGCCTAACCTTTTCCATTTAAGCTATTGTTTGGCTCTAAACTAATAAAATAAAGATTACATTTTCTAATGTGCATACAGTCAAAGAACACACAATACAGGAAATAAAAATAAAACTGTCAAGTCATTTGTATGTGTCTGGAGAGGTGCTATTAAATAGCAATGATTCAAAGAGAGAAAATGAAATACTGTTTGGAAAAATCAAATTGCTACTTTCACTGGAGAATTAAACAACTTTTCAGGAAACCCAGTAATTTAATATACATATTTACCAAAGAAAGTTTATTTATAAGATTTTTTTTTTTCTAAATATTTATTTGAGGACAAGGAGAAGATGAGAAAAATGGAGAGAAGAGTAGACAAAAGGAATATATGGGAAAACAAGAGATAAAAGAGGCATGAGGAAATACAGAAAATGAAAGACAAAAAGAATAACATACAATAGAACAGTTCAGTTGGAAGGGACCTACAATGTTCATCTAGTCCAAATGCAATGTTGTTATTATTCTGCATTAGTCTGCACAATGCATCCTCTAAACACATACATTAAAGGAAGGATTTTACTAAAAGTGGACTTCACTGATTACCAAAACTTTTAATGATAAAGTGTTAAATTTGAGTTTGAGAAAGGGAAAAAAAAAAAAAACAAACCAAAACACAACCAACCCACACTGCTAGTTTAGTTACATGGTCAGGATTTTTATTTCCATTTCCCTCTGCCCTTTTGGCTTGAGGTGAATGCTGAAGAGCACAGCATCCCAAGTGAAGTCTCTTTGCTGTGCTCCCATCACCGCAGCCTATGGGAGTGGCACCATGTACAAGCCCCAGAAAAATTGGCATTTAGGAACCAAATTGCTCTTTCATCCTGGCCAGTAATTCACTCTGCCCTTTTCCCTCTACAGTCTGACACTGTAGGTGCAAAAACTCATTAGGCATCTATCAGTGTAGGTCAAACATATCCCACATATTTCAGCTCAACTCAGAAATGGTTGTTCTTGGTGACAGGTGACTTATCTCTACCTACTGCTCTGTTGCAACTCAAGCTCAGGCAACCAAATTTGGCCCAAGCCCTGCTGTGAAAGATATTTGAAAGAGCTACATCAATTTGGTGTTTCACCAAATCTTCCCCCCCCCCTTGAGTACTCATGCCGGATGGAAGACTATGGATTCTAGTTCACATTCAGCTTGAAAAAGACTGAATTCTCATCATCAGATTCTGGGTGTAACCTATTCTTCAAACATAAACATCTTCTCCCCCCTGACTGCATTAATAATTTAGGCCATTATTTTAGGCAGATTAGCTCATGTGCCCCAAAAGTGCAGGTGATTACAGACAAGCATCTTTAGCCTCTGTTAGGACAGTCCTTACAGCAATGTCATTCTTATTTCTAAAAATTCAGTAGGAGTAATAGTCTGAATAGTTCAGCTTGGCAGGATGAAAAATCTTGGACTTTTGGGCTACAATGATCTTTAGAAAGGATTCTCTGTCTTGTTCATTAACATGACATTTCAGAGCTGCCAATAGGCAAAAGCAACAGGGAGGAGACAGAGAAAAGGAGAACATGCTGAAAGCCAAGTTAATTTCGACTGGCTCACTTTTTCTGAAAAGCTGCTAGGAAAAGACCTGGTATTCCCGTTTGCTTGGCCGTTCCTCCAGCTCTCAGTGTAGGTGGCAGCATGCTGGGCCTTCTGCTCCTGACTCAGCACAGCCCGCGGTCTCCCTCACGCCAAGCTAAATAGTCCCACCTACCTCAGAGGTGGCAGCACTGGATGATGCAGGAGCGGACCAGGCAGGGCTCACACACGTGTCCACTACGCTGGTTACAAGGGAACTGTTTGAATCACTGAAGCCAGCCTGCCTAAATCACATTGAAGGCAAGAACTACACCCGTGGAGATGACAAGATAGGTATTCATTTGTATCTACCCTTGCTCAAACCAATCGCACATCACTGTCCGGATGACCTGCAGTAATTTTTTAGGTTAATCTTCGATGTGCAGGTAAAAGTGATACAAAGAATGTTTGTATGTAACTTCACTCATTTTAGTGGGAGTATATCATTTATATTGGATTCTTCACATATTTGCAAGGGATCCTAGTGGACTTCTCTTGAAAAAGTTGATTATGTTTTAATCTTTTAATCCATTTTCTTCTAACAATATTGAACTATTTCTGTTGTGCTGAATTTTTCACTTGGTTCTTAGAAAAAGTGTGTCTAATGCTGAAAGACATCTACCACTGCCGCTAAAAGATACAATACACAATGTTCTCGCAGGATAGATAATTAATTACGCTTTAGTTATACAAGATATACTACAGCAGATTGGTGAACTGGACTTTGTAACAATACAAGACAATCCATACAATTTTGGTTTTGTTTTGAATACCTGCAACTAGTCAGTAAGTCTACTCGACCCCCTCCCAAGCTAACTGCTCTCATATTAGATGACTGTACCTTTCATGCATATAGTTGACTCCAAGTAACAACTGTATAAACCAGTCTATTATTTGTCTTTGAGTGAATATCTTCCCAGATTCTTTGTACTCTTGAATTTTAAAGTCTAGATCTCCACCCTGAAAAATACCACAACATATTTGTACATTTAAAACAAGTTTTAAAAATATCTTCTCTTTCATCAAAGTACAGGACTCCACTTTCGCAGACCTTCAGGATTCCTACCACGTAGACTGTAAAATTAATGTTTGCACATGAATTCTGAACTCTCACAGCACCAAAACCATACACAACTGAACATCAAAATGAGATCAAGCAGTCTGGCTGCATAGAAAGTAGGTCAGTTTTCTCTTAGTGTTACACAATATCATCAAAGTTTTCTAATGTTCTCCCTTCATATCACCCAACTTTAGACATGTGTGTCTAAGTTGTCACCTTAAACTCCCTTTATAGTTAACACAAAGGAACAGGCACATCTATAGTGCAATTATCTATGCCAGCTAGCTGTCTACCTCCGGAAGGGATGGATCATGTTGTAGAAATGCTGTTTCTCTGCAAAGATTTATGATGAGGGCCTACATTGACTGGCTAATATGTAGACACCTAAATCAAGTAAAAAGAATCTGCCCCAATTGCTCCAAATAAGTTCACAAATTTGACAAAAGCATTACCACTCAAGTCAGGCATTGCACAGTCGAAAGACAACTCTCATTTATTATGCTGAAACAACCATGTTAATATTAAAGAAACCATGCTGTTCTCTTAAGAATTAAAATACAGTCTCTTTAATTATGACACTTTGTCCCTTTTCCAAACTCACTTTTGCCAGAAACAAAGCAGAATTAAAGCTTCAAGAGTCTGCAGGCATGTGTTATTGTAAATACTTCATTAAAACTACAATTGATCTTGAAGTAACACTAGAAATGGAGCAATATGACACTCAGTAGGCAGTGAAAATAAACCAGAAAATATGTACAGAAAAAGACTACTTGAGAACTGTAAGCCAGACATTTGGAAAAATCAGTTGAACAACAGTATGATGAAAGAGGTTTTTGAGGAGGCTTATATGAAAACTGTTCATTTTGCTAAAAAATAGACAGATGGTTGTCAGTTGGTTGTTTATCCAGTTTATAAAATAAATGGATTTTGTCTACAAGAATGCACATTAGTGGCAAGCACTCTGTTGAGGTAACTAACCCCAGAGCAAAGGGACTGTGAGTCTCACTGTACTCGAGTAACCTTACAACAGCACAGCTTATTCTGCATAAATCGTTACTTTTACATTATACATTCTGCATGAAATCAGAAGTTTTATGTGCCGTAGTTTAACCCATACAATGGTACCTGTACCACTATTTCCCATCATCAACCCTTCCCTCCTTTGCACTGTTGACACTCAACATTTTATAATGTCTTTTCTTGTTATTCTGTTCCCCACACCACAGTGCTTCATACTGCTGCTACAAAATAAGCAGGTTCTGTCCTTGCAGATCCATCATTTCTGTCCTGTACTTTGACAAGAATTTACAGTAATTTCTGTGGTCCCTGAGGTTCTAAGTTACAGCATTCAAGTGAGTATGTGTAAAAAAAAAAAAGAAAATATGTTTTGTCATATATCAAAAATGTTTTCCCTGACAATGTCCTGCAATTTTTTTAATTGAAATGTCTGAATCATCTCATTCACTAGGGAAGGGAATATGGCTTCAGTTCTCCATCTGCCTCCCTGCTGCAGCCCAGAGCAAAGCTCTTCTGGGAACCTGGAGCTCTCAGCAGCTGCTTCCCCTTCGCAACTCCAAATGTTCAACAGCTTCCCCCTGGTTGCTTGCAGCAGAGCAGAGGAGAAAAAAAGTGTTGCTGGATACTCAGCTGCATAGCAACCAGATGGGCTGTGTCTGAGCCTACTCGCACAACTCAAAAATAATGACTCACCTATTCCAGACGGCTGCCCCAGACCATCCAGAGCCAACTGTAGCAATAGCCCAGGAGTCAGGGGCTGCTCAAACATGTGTCAGCTGGCTACTGGCCATAAGGGACTATGTACTATCCGGGTGAGGATAGATGAAGTGCATCAGGCTCCTGTCACCGTTTCTCCCTGTCCCAGTGTGTCCCCTCTCACAGTTACACATTGCCATGAAAAATGCAAAGAAAAGTGTAGGACCTACAGAGTTAGGCTAGTGAATATTCTCTTAAATTGGGGGACATTTCCTTCCAAAGATCTATGAAGAACAAAAGCAAGCAAACAAAGCACTATATGTGCCCTCAAGTAACTGTATAACCTTTTATCTTCATGTAGAGAAGACTGGTCTCAATGTCCTACAACTAATTTAACCTTGATTTTGTGTCTGAAAAAGGAAAACAAAAATACATCATAAAAGATTTGCTGAAATACTGTTGCCATGAAACTCTGAAGAAGTTTGTTAACCCAATTTTGCATTTTGGAAGGTCAGTATAATGAAGTTCATGAGGAATTTAACAACTTAAGTACATGGGGAATTTCCAAGTTGCCGTTTCTATTTTAAATAGCACGAGTATCAAACACAGCAGTAACTTATGTAGAACAGCTTAGCATTTAGAGCTCATAACATGAACAGGCACTAATTGCTTTAGTTATTCCTCTTGCTTAGATTTCCTTAGCATATGTAAAAATAATTGTTTATGGGAAAGTGCAACTAGTTCTGACATATGCTGTATTAAAATGATGCAACTTTTAAAGTAACTACTTTGTAAAAACTGTATTTTATTGAATTCCAATTTATGTCACAAAATTCAACCCAAGGTTCCTGAAGGCATTTTTGCTTGAAATCTGACATCTGACAATGTTTATATTGCCTGTAAGATTCTGATTCAGGAAAAAGCAGCTGCCAAAGCAGCTCAACAAGAGGATCAAAATAGAACACACATATTTCTTTTCTATAATTTTGAATTAATTCAGTTATAATAAAGGATGTCAAGCTGAGCAATGGAGACCAATGTTCTCTTTTGTTCATAGGGCAGCTTCATTGGAGGCTCACTCTATGCTGCTCATGCAAGAATGAACAAAGTAATGTGGCTAAAGAATAAGTCACAGTACTTTGGAGAAAACAGAATAAAGCTCAGAGGGTAGTTCTGTTTCCATGCCAACTTAATGTTTATTCTTTGTTTTGAGTCTGCTCAAGAGTACCAATTACTGCCAATCTGGTAATTGTTCCCTGCATGAGAAACTGAACGTACTAACATTTCTTTGCAAACAAGGATCAGGTAGCAATCCATTTTTCTCATTCTCAATTTATGCACGATTTAAATGGGCATCTTTTAGGTAGAGAGACCCAAATCCCACCACATACCAAGGCAGGTTATAGATAAGTAAATATGAAAGTATACCTTCTGAAAATACACACACTAAAAAGCAAATAAACATTAAAGCACTATGTGAAACTTTGCTTTATACTTTTCTTGTCTGAACATTTGATTAAATATGTTGTAATTGCTTCAGTGAAATGATACTACATAGTGCATCCTTTTGAAAAAAGTCAGAAGAACATCCTAGAGGACCAACTATTGGCCTGACCTAGCAGACTCAAAACTGAAAAGATTCATCCACATAACCAATGCATCCATTTCCTCTTTCTTCATTTGCCTTGCTCTAATACATTCTCATGTATTTGAGTATATGACTCCTAGATCCTAGGGTAACTCCACACTGAAGTGTTTCATGCAGGGTAGTTTACATTGCCTAAATAAAAAAATTTCCAAGGAGTGCTGCACCAGCTTGTAATTGCTCTGGTGATTGCTATAATGCTCTTTCTTATTCTTTATTCCAGACTTTTAAAACTTTATTCCAGATGAAAAAAAAAAAAAAAAGATACAAAAAAGAAGTGGACCAAAGCCACTAGTACAGCTCTATAATGTTGCTGAAAGAGGCTCCTTTATTCCTATAGGTGTAACTGATCTGGTGTTGGTCCACTTTCTACCACTAGCAGAGAAAAATGAATCTTAGTATGCAGGAATATCTGGGCAGTTTGAATAATCCTTCAATTCTGAGCTCTGGATTTCCAGAGACTTGGCAATATTAAATTTCCATCAAGCCCCAGATGTCATTCAGGGAATGACACAAAGAGCTTCTGCATGGGTGTTGAAATAATGAGTGAACAATTATTCAGATTGCATAACAGAATTGAACATTTCAGATTTCATTTTTAAAAATCCCTGCCATAAACAGGCATTTAACTGTCAAAGAAAGCTTCTAAGGAAGTAATATCTGGCAGAAATTCTTTAATTACTCACACAAATGCTTGAAGAAATGTGATTGGTTAAACAAGTCTGATTTGTGGACAGCTAACCCAGTAGTCCCAGGTCATTAGCTTCCAAGGCATTACAAATGTCTAGCAGAGCACAACTGAAGAGCCTGATACACAGTTTCATAACAAGATCGTTGTAGGTATGACTATTTTTTAAAAAAAGATCATATCTATATTTAATACAAAGTAGGCTCTTGTTTCATATAAACTCATAAAAAGCTGCCTTAAAAATGTTTAAATTCTTATCTTAAAGCCTTAAGACAGATTTCAGCAATATGCTTTTAAACCAAATGCTGGAGTTGAAAAACCTGGTAACTATATTGTAGTATACCCTGCTTTAATTTTTGTTGTATCCACTACATCTGGTCTTTGACTCACATTATTCACTTCATAAAGTCAATGCTGCTACCAAACTTATCACCCATGTGATCAGGCTTATGCTTCTTGTGATCACCTCCAAATCAAAAGTGAGTTTTCCCTTTCTCATTTGCATCAGATTTCATACCATGACCTGGTACTCCCAATCTCATCCTCTCTTACCTATCAATTGTACATATGTGGTACAAACTTTGAGTTCACCCACAGATCTGGTAACGTGTCTGCATTTAAGTCGTTCTTGTATTACTGATTATAGTGAACAAAATGAACTTGTATTTAAAATTAGCTACTTCCTCTCCTCTGTTTTGTTTGTCTGTGAGCTATGAGTCTTGCAGGAGCATGTAACATCGCTTATTTGAAATATTCCTAACAAGCAGCAGGTGATACCACAAGTAACAACTAAAGATTAAAATTCAAACTAAAACATTAAAAAAAATGGGCTGGGCTTTTAGGACTCTGCTTTAAGCCACACATTCTGTCAAATTTCTTCAAAGTAATCTACAAGTCTCACCTCACAGTATTCAGTGATGATGCAGAAACTATCTCGCTCCACAAAGCTTGCATAAAATTTGACAATGGCTGGATGGTCTAATTTGGAGAGTAGCTGTGCTTCCAGATTTGCTTCAACTGTTTCATTAGGCTTTAGGTCTCCAACAGAGATTTCCTTTAGAACCTTTCTAGAGAGAAAAAAAAAAAATAAAAAAAAAAAAATATATATATATATATATAATCATGTAATGCTCAAAACCCCATCATAATTTCTTAAAATGTAAACTAATAACATTAACCAAGTATCTGGCAACATGAAATGATGAGGCAAATATGGGTAAACAAAGAGAATGCATTAAAATGCAAATAAATATGCTAGTGATTAAGCAACATTTAAAAACTACTATTTTGAAGTATTTTTCCCACTAATTCCACAATGCACTGTTTATGACATGTTTTTAGCGCTATGGATTAGCACATAATAATAAACATAAATAAAAAATCAAATGTAAGTTATTTCAAACCCACTCAGAGCATACACTCAGGATTCTGACACGAAATAAGGAGCAGAAATAAACTGTTCAGTTTTGCTGCTCCTGCCAAAGTCTATCCATGAAGGCATGAGATAAATCACAAAGAGAGTTGTATTTCTGTGACTGTTTTTCTGGTGATAAACTCAGGATGCTGATTTTTTTCTAAAGATTAGTCTGCCCTTCAACTAAGTGAAAAGTGAAAATCTGGATTTGTGGCTGAAACTTAAATCTACTGTTTCAATGAACTCTACATTTTCAGGATTTAACATTTGTTTTGGGAGACCCTAAATTTCCTGAAAAAGCCTGAAAAAACAAAGGGATTTTTCATATTCCTCAATTTTAACATGTGACAGATGAAAATCTGTGGTTCAGGCTTAGCTTTATACAGAACCTGGAGTTGGGGAGTTACTATCAACTTGTCCTGGAAAAAAAAACCTTAGTGCAGGGCATGATGAAGAAGCATATTTTGCCAAGATCTTCCTGATGACACATTTAAAAAAGGCATAAATCACACAAAGGCGTGACATTTCCATCTACTTTCCCATCCACTGAAGAATGCATCATCGGCTTATGTTTGAAGGAGAGGTTTGAGACTATTAGAGAATACCACAGTATTTTACTGAAACAAAGTGATAAATTTCCAATAACTTTTGAATACATGGAAGGTAAGTTGCACACTGACTGAAGGGATGTCTTCACAGTGCTTTTAGTAATTTCCCCATTCAATACTGCATGGTTGTCACAGTAGTTAAACGTGGTAGCGATAAAACTACAGTACTTCATGTGATCAAAGGAAAAAAAAAAAAAGCTGTACTTCTTCATATGAAAATTTCTTCCTAAATCTCAACCATCACTTTCTGACTAACAATGCATGAATTTTTACATAAACTTGCCTAATTCCCATCTGGCAGTGTGATGAAAACAGGCCATTTGATTTGTCTGCACCTCTACAGACAAGCTTCATACTACACAGACAGGTAATACCTACTGCAATCTTCTCATCTTCAGTTGACATGGGGACATTACTCCCTCTTTCATATAGATTGTGTCACAGAACTGACAAACAGAATGATTCCTTGTTAAACACCACTTAATACAAGTTTCTTGTATACCCAAGACAGCAATAAAAGCCTGATGTGTTGATGTGTAGGGATAGCTTGTCATCTTAGTCACTCAGTGATTTTGTTGCTGTCATCAGCTGTCAGACAACAAGACAGGTGTTTTTCTTATTTAAATTAATGCCTAGAATAAGAAATCTGGAAAATGTACTTTCTGGAAATAAGGTATTGGTTTTCTGCTACACAATGCTAATTCATATCCAGAGTTGGAAGTCAATTGTGTCTAGAAAGAAAACTTGTCATGCAATCAAGATTAAGCATATCTGCACGCCACTGGTATATGTGTATAACGTTTCTGTATGTAGATAATGTTTGCATTTAATAAGAAGAAAATAACTAAACTTCATACTTTCTGCAAAGCTTTTGATATCTACTTTAGTAAATACACTTAAAAATTTAAAATGCATACTTAAAAATCTCTATATTGATATAAAGTATTGGCAAAGAAGTTATGTCATTGTCTCAGAAGTCTCACAGATAAAATGTACAGAGAAATGTAGTTCCTTTCTGATAACTTTAGAAGAAAAACAATGAAGCTAAAAGTCTTCAGTCAGGAATTCATCTATATAAATTAACTATACTTTTCAATACATAAACCACTTTAAAGAGTGCTTAAATTCACTCTACCCCTTTTCAGTATTTACGCAAGTAACTTCTACCCAAACATGCAGCTAAAATGGGCGCTTTCTGTGATGTACAGGACTCCTAAACTAACTCAATTTGGCATTCCTGGTGATGTCAAATAGGCCGAGAGATCCATAAAATGACAGTCTTTCTGCCATTAAAAATAAAAAAAAAAAAAAAAAAAAAAGGTTAGTAATCATAAGAAAACAACAAACTTTTCTTAGCTAAACAATCCTGACTGCATTTCCCCTCTACCAAGAGAATCTAGCTCTACACTTTGGAGACAAAGTGTTTCTGTGATCCAACACGCCTTTTAGCATTGGTTTAGATAAATAGCAACTTACCATTGCTCATAATTCAGCCATAGTACTTGTGTAACATCTGCTAAAAATCTGTATTCATTGAACAGTTTAGAAACATAGGTAACAGTATAAAAAGTATTTTAAACAAACCTTCTGAAGCATGTGACATGAATGTTTATTATAAATACTGGGAATAATAGACTCTTCTGTTAAGATTTTTGTCAAGACTCCACCTGGAATATACATGTCCATCTGAAAGTCTAGGTTTTTTATAAGACCGGCCCTTATGTTTTCTGCCACTTAAGCTCAAGTATTAAGCAGGATTTAAAAGGTCCAAAGCTATTTGCATGAACTAAGAAATCGTAAATCTATTGCATGAACTAAGAAATCATAGATTTAGGTGACACATACAGAAAACAGGTAAAATCACTAAAATGTGGATGCCCTCCAAATACAATACTTAAAACTTCCCCTTTTGATATAATGCTAAAGACATGTACTAATTTAAATTTAATTATTATTATTATAAATTCCACTTAATTTAGAATACAGACACATAATCAGATCATAGAATCAGACAATAATTTACATTGGAAAAGACCTTCAAGATCATCGAGTCCAACTGCAAACTTAACACTGCCATATCCACCACTAAACCATGTCCCTAAAGATGATAAAATGTCAGTGAACACACCACTAGAAAACTTTGTTATAGAGGTGCTAGCAGATATCTTAACTTAAATACAGAACAACAGCTTCCTGATTTTCACTGTGTGGAAAAAAAATCCTAGCCTTGAAATGTAATGGCACAAAGACACTTTGAAATTGATCTTGAACTGACCACAACTGAAAGAGTCTTGTAGTGAACACCTTCTCATCTTAAGAGTAAAAAGCTCTGACTGTTACTATTTACATCCACCTGGGAAGAAGCTGGGTCCGGTACAGGTAACAGCATACTTCCCCTCAGGGTGGGAAAATAACATGAGAGATAAGCCCACTCCCCACAATCCAGAAAGCAGCTGCCCTGCCTCTGCAGTGCTTACACCTCGGGAGGCTCACAGACCTTTCCTGGGAATACTTTCTGGCTTTCATCAGCAAAACCTTGCTGGCTTGCATTGCCACACTTTGAATCCCAGCCAGGCCAGCACACCGTGTCTGAAAGCGCAATAACATAGAGCAAATGGGGATAAATAGAGCAAGGCTTAAAACAAGAGAAATACAAGCACAAAGGTGGAATCATCCAGGATATGGACAAGAGAGTGGGAATCCCCTTTTGAGCTTTACTACTGACTGACAATATGCCACAGCAGTGTTTATCTCAGTCTATTTGCACTGATCTAAAATTAAATGTTTTACAACCCATCTGGTATTTGTTTACATTGATGACATACTTTATTATTATATAATTTGGTTTATTGAATCAAATGTAATTCTTAAAAGAAGACAGCCTTTCTCAAAATGCACTCTGTTTATTGAGTAAACTGCAACGTGAGTTATTGACTAGGTACATTTGCTTGCTGATAATGAAGTAAAATAAATATAACTCTTTTAATGTCAAGAATAAATAGGTCTAATAAACTAACATAGAGAAGTTTCGCTCCAGGAATACACGATCAAAATTTGAAGTTTTAATTAAACAGAAACTTCATTTTACACAGACAGTTTTTCAGTGAATTGCAGCCTGAGATTAGCAAGACCTGCTATCAGGTAACCATCATGCAAAGCTGGGAACTTACCATTCCATTTAGCTTATATTTCTGAGTCATCAACATGGAGAGTTGTGGCATAACCCATAACTGCCTATTGTATTTCTATCCACACTAACCTTGGTATGACTACCTCTGTAATTGGATCTGAAATTGGTCATAAACAATAAAATTAAAGAAGTGCCTGCCAATTAATGATGTCTTAAATTCTATTTATCAAAAGTCAAACAGAGAAGGTATGGTTGTAGAATGGAGATCAAAATGAAGAAGAGGTGACAACCCTCACACACAAGTCCTGGCTGTACAACAGCTTTCACGGTAATAAAATTGTTTGGGAAATTCAGTAACAAGGACACCATGTGCATACAGATAAGATGAAGTCACCCATCATTACTGCTCCTCACAGTTGGTTGCTTTCTAGAGTATTGCACAGTTGATGAGATTTACATGTTACAGCCAGCAGCATAATTCTAAAATGAAAATTTTAGATTTCTGCTGGTAACTTCCATACTGAAAATATTTTATTACTGAAATATAATTTTTGATACATAGTCCTGCCTATCCCAAATTTAAGCTGTCCTTTCTGTACAGTTTACATCTGGATATTACAGGATCCCTTTGATTTGACGTTCCACTGTGCACATGACATACTGCTCAGGTAAAGTAACTTCCCTGCTATCAAAGGTTAGAGTTTCTTCACGTTTCCTTTCAGACCACTCGCCTTTGCACTTCTGCACATCCAGATTTTATTTGCAATTAGGATACTTTACGGATTTCTCATGGCTTCCTATTGCCTGGAATCTACTTCCTCACTTCAGCTGGTCTTCTAGTTCCACTGTAACTTTCAACTAATCCTTACTTATCGTACATACAGCTATCCTGTTACTAATAATCTTATCAGATTT